TCAGAATGGGGCTGACACAGGGAACCCGTTGTGTCGTTTCATAGTTAGGTCATTCGGCAGTCTACTAGGGATGTATTACATGACCTAGACATTGAAAATCTGTGTTGAGAGGTCGAGATAAGATTGTTAGTGGGTAGATGTTGAACTGCTGCCACCTTAACTGCTTTTTCCATAACGCTATATACCAATGAAGTTATGTTTATGGGCCGGTTATTTTCAACATTTGCTTCAGGTCCTGTTCTGATTTTGGGAATGATGTGTGTCGTTTTCCAGACAGTGGGGTAACAAGCTGTAGAAAGTGAATTCGTGAATAGTTTGAGAAGTGAAACACGCATATCACCACCTCCACATTTTGGCATGCTAGCCGAAATACCATGCGGCCAGTCCGTGCAGGAGCGTTTCAGTGTGCTAACTGCCTTATAAATATTCTGTACATTTAGTCTACATTAGTAATTTCACAGGAAGGTACTGGGTTTGGTTTTGATTCATTTGGTGGTTTTCTGTTAGTTATTGAGAAACAAACGTGTTCACAAAATAGTTCCGTAACAAGTTAAGGATCATCCTATACTTGTTTGCCCTTAATAAATAAGTTTCCTTCTCTCAGTTTACTACGCTTAAGTTTATTTTGAAGGAGTTTGATAAGTGAGGAGTTATTATTAAGTTTGGTAGCACGTTTTTCCTGTGCGACTGAACTTGGGTAAGTATCTCCTCTGCCTGGATAAATGTTTATGTTGTCGTAACCAAGGAGGAAAAGTCACTGAGGTTGTGGTATCGAGTACAATGTTTTTAAAGACGTCTTTGTGTAGAGACCGTTATATACAGATCTGTAGAAAACCTAGGTTTCCGGTATTCTAAAGTTACGATCTTGTTTAGGATATTTATGACGTTGTGATCGAATATATTAGTTAGTGTGTCGGTACTGTTTACAGTTAAGATGCTTCCCCAATCAGTCTTTCCTAATTGATTTCAGGAGATTTTCCAATCGCCTTTGTGATAGTGCCTACGAAGTGCTACAGCTTTGCATCTACCGGTTGTGGTTTTCATATTAAGGCTACATATGACAATTTTATAATCGCTACCTGGAAGTGTTTTTCTAATATACACAGTATTAGAGGTAAGGCCACTGATAAAAACTAAGTCCAAGATATTTTGGTGTCTGGTAGGGCTATCGACATACTTAATCCATTGTCCAAGATCTAGACACACAGTAAATGATTCACGACGTTTCGGCGCTCTGACTGGAAAGGAAAAAAATTAAGGTATGTTTGTAAGATCCATTTTGAATGTTTTGTGTGTTGGTGAAAATCCCTCCATGTATATACTTGCACTTTGTTCCTATTGATCCCCTTAGTTGTACATTGTTGTCTTTTGATTACATTTGAATTGTTAATACTTGTATTTTTTATTATAGTTTTTGTTTTTCTTACGCATTCTCTAAGTTTGTGTTTCTTCCCGAACTGCATTTGTGTTGTTTTACTTGACACTTGTTCTTGGCGGTAGCCATATTGATTTGCTCCTCCTTTTGTACGTGTGTTCTATCCAGTCAGGATAAAATAACGTTCATTTGTTGTGACTGGTAATTTTCCCTCATCTTTTATCAACTCGTTTATTTGTTGTAATTTAGATTTGATTGATTGAACAATTATCGGTTGAATAGCCGGGTGGTAATATTTGTTTAGGTAACGATTTACATTTAAATTTATGATGAATTATAGAACCGCTATTTACCCGATTACTTGTTTTGATTTCGACGGGAAAGGGCGCGTGTCTAACCTACCTGGACGGCTATTCCTCTATCCAAACCGTGGTTTAGATCTTACAATGTTGAAGTCACCACAATACGCCTGCCTGTGAATGGTAGGAATGAAACTAGGTTGAGTGTCTCTGACAATATTTCTATTTCAACCTATATATATGTTATATATATATATATGTTATCGGATGACGCAACTAAACAGCTTCATAAAAATTCACTCTTAGTCTTGCAGTTTGTTCAATTCCGGCACACCACATACTAGTGATTTTAAGCTGATGTAAGCGTAAATAAGGCATTCTCTGCCCATTTCTTTTGACCTATCAATTTGATATACGGAATAAGTATCAAGAGACATACTTAGATCGGAAATACTAATGCTAGTCTATGCATTAGATATCGTTGTAACTGATAAAAGGATACAAACACGGCACAAACTGTATTTTTATTACAAATTGGCCCAGCGTTGATAAGGCATATACTAAAAAATGTCTGTCCTAAACCCCGAACAAACCACCATGTATAGCCAGCAACTTTACGCGTCACATTACAGATAAAACCCTAAAAGCTAGGAATGGGAAAAGCTAAATTTAATCTCATGATGGGTTTGGGGATGACTTGGTCATATGTCATTATATAAGGTTTATAAAAAACAATAATGTTTGGCGCTTAATCAGTGATTATTAACAGCTGAACACGAAACTGTTCCAGGCTTTTGTTCCTTATCCAACATTCAGGAGTCGATGGCTAACCTCAAACGTTAAGGTGCATAATTATATCAATATGGCTAATGAAGATGTAGTGGCATTGGACAATAGCCACATAATCCACAAAGCTGTGAACACGAGACTACTCAGAAAATAGATATTCAACATTTAACGCGGAAAAATACCCAACAATGGAGAAGGCGCGTACAATGAATTGAATGGACTGGAGTTGATCAGTCTTCAGTCTTCAGTAATAAGGATAGGAGGTCTGTCGACCTATATTAATCCTTGCAGTTTGTAATACTATGGAGGTCCAATCTCGTTTTGAATATATTAACAGATGGTGCTGATATTACGTGTTCCGGTAGAGAATTCCAGTAATTCACTACTCGGTGCGAGAAACGGAACTCCAAACGTAAACGGTTTGATCTCGGTTTTTGAACTTTCTTCGAATGTCCTCTCAAATGATCAGTCCTAGACGGAAGCAAAAGATAAGACATGTTAATACCAAGGTCATCGTTCAGTATACGATAGGCCAATATTAGATCACCCCTTATTCTACGGTAAGATAACGGAAATAAGTTAAGGTGTCTCAGTCTGTCTTCATAAGATAGGCCAGATAGACCTTGTACCATCTTAGTAGCTCGTCGTTGGACTCTTTCTAGCATATCTGCTTCATATTTGAAACAAGGACACGCTGCTTGAATCCCGTATTCTAAATGTGGTCGCACATAAATCGGGTATAGTAATCTAAACATTTCATCATCTAAATACTGGAAAGACCTACGAATTGACCATAATACCCTATAGCCTTTTGCAGCAGCAGCCTTACAGTGACTAGTCGTTTTGAGATCATTGCTTAATATGACTCCTAAATCTTTATAGTTTCTTACTTTGGGTAGCACGAATCCACGTAGTGTATAGTCATACGATTCATCAGAGTTATTTAACTGCATCACTACACTCTTATTAGGATTTACTTCTAGTGACCACCTATCTAACCATGCCACCAATGAGCTAAGATCGTCCTGTAATACTATCCTATCCGACATGCTATGTATGGGTCTCCAAATCTTTATGTCATCAGCGAAGAGTAGAACGGATGATTTTGCTACAGTTGGCAATTCATTTACATAAAGTAAAAAGAGAAGAGGACCCAGGATTGTACCTTGGGGAACCCCACTTTTTACAGGTACCCACGAGGAGAGAGCCCCATTAACCCTTACCCTTTGTCTCCTGTCATGGAGAAAGTTACTTATCCAATCGACGACTGTATAATGGATTCCAAAACGTTTCAGTTTGAATTTAAGACCAGAGTGGGAAACCTTATCAAAGGCTTTACTTAGATCTATGAAAATCACATCCACAGGAGCATTCCGATCCTTTGCCGCAGCCCAATCTTCTCGTGCAATGAGAAGATTTGTCAAGCAAGATAGGCCTTTCCGAAAACCATGTTGTTCCCTGGAGAAAAGATTTTGCCCTTCAACATAGTTTATAACAGCTATCCGAATGATTTTCTCCATCAGTTTTACAACTGCACTAGTTAAGCTAACGGGTCTATAGTTACTAACTAAATCCCTACCCCCAGCCTTATACACCGGACTTATTATGGCGTCTTTCCAGTCTCTAGGAAGTCTGGACTGTCTCAGAGACATGTCGAATAGTATCGCTAATGGTTCAGCAATTTCATCTGATATGGCTTTCATAATCCTAGGATGAATATCGTCAGGACCACTGGACTTATCAGGTTTGAGATGCTGGAGTAGCCTTAAAACAGTATCTTTCTCAATGACTACAGGATCCATCAGCGAGCCGTCACGGTCGCGACGAATCATTGGTCGTTCCTCATTACCGATAGAAAACACTTTACTAAAGTATTCCGATAAAGCTTCAGCTTTTTCGGCATCATTCTCTGCTAAGATTAACGGATTTTCTCGTATCAAAAGTGATGGAATTCCATCACTTCTCTTAGTTCGCCTTTTTATATACGAGAATAACCGTTTCGGACTATATCTAGAATCCCTAACCAACTGTTTTTCGTATGATAGTCTAGTTTTACTTATTAACGCTTTACAGGCATTCCTAATCTTACAGTAACTGGATCTGTATTGTTCTAAGCCAGTAGAGATGAACATATCCCAGTGATTCTTCCTTTTTCTAAGGAGTTTCCTGACCGTTTTAGTTATCCATGGTGGACTATTATTCGGTCTTCGCGGTACCAGGTATGGTATGAACGGGGACGTAACTAGTCTAAATTTACCTTTAAATACAGACCATGCTTCTTCAACTGATATGCTAGTATCTACTAACCAATCTGTCTTAGCAGCACATTCCTGAATGGCTGATATGTTAGCTTTCCATACATTTGGGCGAGGTGTAACCTGATCGTATAACATGTCCCTAGTTCGAAACGTGAATGACAAAACAGCGTGATCGCTGTTCACTAACGGGGGAAGAATATTTAAGTCGACAATATCCTCAGTCTCATGAGTGATTACCAAATCCAGCAGAGAAGAACCCTGGTTAACACCAAAACGTGTGGGTTGGGATACATGCTGTACTAGTGCATGCTCCATTATTGTTATCAGGAACTTACTATCAAAGGAGTTTATAGATCCTTCTGTGGTCATATCAGTCCAACTAATATCAGGTGCGTTAAAGTCTCCTATTATCAAACATCTGGTATTTTCACTCCAAAGATGAATGTGCTCTAAAACAAAGTCATCAGCTAGGCAGATTGGGCTCCGATAGATGACACCTAGCATAAATGTACTACATCCTATAGCCAACTTACAGCTAATGACTTCACAAGTGCCGCTATCATGGGATTCGCTAATAGAGGAGCGGATATTTATGCTATTGGCTATGTATAACAGGACGCCGCCTCCTTTCCTACATCTATGTCTATCACTCCTGATGCAATGGTATCCGGATAATTCTGGAGTAATGTCTAAGTCATCGACTAACCAAGTTTCTGTCACTGCTACTATGAGTGGCTTTAACCTGTCCACTAGTGCTTCTAGTTCATAGAACTTATTTCGTAGACTACGAGCGTTGGCATATAAAACTCCTAAGTAGAACAGCCTATCCACACAGGCCTTGGTAGCATTCGCTTCCAAGACCTGACTATCCGAAAACCCACTAGCCGGAGATTTTCCTCGCCGTTTTGCCGACGGGTTTCAAGCTCAGCTAGTGCTTTCTTCCTTTTTATTCTATCTTCGAGAGATATGTCAGGTCTAACTCGGATGTCAGAATTGTCGTGACAACGAGCGCTACTTAACAAGAGATCCCGTTGCTTCTCCGATCCTAGGATTACCTTAAGGAGTCTGCATGGACGGGGTTCAACATTGTCCTCGGTCCTCTTGCCTATTCTTACCAACTTTTTAACCTGAACTCCTTTGGAGTTATCTGGTAAAATACTACGAATGTATTCTCCTAGCTTTTCTAAGTCATGCGCGTGTCTAATTTTCGGATCAGGGTCATTTGACTCCCGCAATTTGCTCACAATAATATTCGATGTTATTAGACTTTTCTTCTCAGTTACGCAAGGATGGGTTTCACTCTTACCATCAGATCTTGGTAGTGCAATTTGTGGCTCACAATTTGGGTCCGCCAGTGAGTTACTAACTTCCTGTGTACTGCTTACAGCTTTTTTCTTTTCGTTTCGTTTCCTACGTACCGTAGTCCATTTTTCATCCCTCATAACACTGGAACTATTTGGAATGGTGACTGTTTTATCCAGATCTACGGTTCCTACTAAAGGTGCATTATTAACAATGTCAGTACTTGGTGGTACTACTCCCCCTGTTAATATCAACGAAGATTTCAGTTTTACGTCGGTCAGAGTCGGTTTTTTGAGGCGTCGCGTAACAACACTGGCACATTCGTCACTGTCAGTGCCCGTGTTGTCGGCGCATATGCCATCATTCTTCTTACAGGCCAGAGCCAATAGGCTCATAGCCTCCTGTATTAGCAATGCCTTGTTGGCACAGCAAAACATGCAAAGCCAATGTGAGTTAGGCTTCGAACATCTTTTATATGCAGTGGGACTTAAACGGGTGCACATTTTGTGGAACCATTTATTGCATTCGTCACACTGCATTCCCTCCTCCACAGGGAACAAACAGTTTGGTTGTCCACATTTGTGGGTACTACCAACCATTTTAGTCTGATTAAGGTGTAATACACAATATGGTCACAGTATGAACCACAAGACAAACTCTAGCAAGATGTCAAACCTTAACTAAAGTACTTTGATACAGACCAAGAATGCTTTCGAATGTAATAAATACACAAAAGCCAAAAAAACTAAGTAAAATATCACCTTAACTGGAGTAGATTCAATTAAAGTGTAAATCGTAGTTTTGATACGTAATTTACGATCAAAACAGTTTAAAAATTTAACGAGAAACAATACCACTGTCCTTTTTAGATAGCGCGCGTATGGCATGGCTCGACCATGCAGGCGTGGTTCATCTGAATATTACCTTATATCTTCTATTCATATTGAATATATTGTTCCTTCTCTAGCCTAACCTTGTTCTACATCATGTATTGGTAATTGATACGATACAGTGAGTTGGTGTAGTCGATGGTGTGACTTCCACGTAAGATCTTATAGATTAGGCAGTTATATCATGACAAATCTACAAATTTAGGATTAGGTCTATTGTTAGAGCAGCACTAATATCATAGTAGACCATAGTTCTACAAAGACACCCCTAAAACTAATATCATAGTTCAACATGTACTTCATAAATTTCATGGGTGTCTTCTTGACTGAGAAACTCTGTACAAGCTTTCCAAAAATTAATTAATGCTGTCTTTTAAAGTCTCGTTAATAGATCCCGACATCCGCAATCATAGGGTGATAGACAATTGAGCACGGGTCTCTGTAGTAGTGTAGGCACAATCGCACGAGTTCAACTCATCACACCATTATGTTTATCAATGGTTTTCCTGAATCTTATGAAACTTTAAAAAGGCTGTCCTCAAAAGTGTACACCTAGCCTATCGACAAAGACTAGATCAGGTCTTGCAGAATATCAAATTGCAACGCGGTTCGCCAACGGATGTAGCTACGTATGAGAGGTCGGTGAACGATGAATTTTGGATAAGGGCTTTGCAAAAAACTACTTCTATGTTGGCTTTTCCAACAGCTACGAGCTTGTCTCGTTTCGTTTATAAGAATGCCATGGGAAAGATCTCTACATCTGCTCAATATATTCTTGAGATCACCAGAAACCTCAGTGTAAGATCCATTTTGAATGCTTTGTGTGTCTGTAAAAATCCCTCCATGTTTATACTTGCACTTTGTTCCTGTCGATTCTCTTAGTTGTACATTGTTAACTTTTTGATTACATTTGAATTGTTAATATTTATATTTTATTATAGTTTTCGCTTTTACTACACCTTCACTAATTCCCCATGTTTTTACCCGGACTGCACTTATGTTGTTTTACTTTATACTAAGTCTGGGCGGCAGCCATTTTGGTTTGTTCCTGCTTTTGATTGCTTGACCTGTGTTGACTGGAATTGTGCATTTTGGTTGTGAATAGAAACACTCTTCCAGAATTAAAAACACTCTGTGTTATAGAGCGACCAATTATTACCTTTTGAACGAATCTGTACGTGATCTATCTAGACAGGATAGAATAACATTTATTTGTGGTGATTGGTAACTTTCTTGCATCGTTTATCAACTTTCTTATTTATTGTAGTTTAGATTTGATCAATTGAACAATTATTGGTTGGATAGCTGAGTGGTTATATTTGTTTAGGTAATAATGTACACTTAAATTTATGATAAACTATAGAACCGTCATCTTACCCAATTACTTTGTTTTGGTTTCAATCGGGCGAGGGCGCGTATCTAACTCATCCAGGCAGCTGTCCAGCAGTCCAAACGTAGTTTGGATCTTACACTCAGCGTCTATATTTGTTTGACCAAAAAGGCTTTAGTCAACACAAAACAAGATAATAGATCTTTGAAATCCTATCGTTTGCTTTCTAACTCATCATAACGATCGCAGTCAATGCAAAACTCGTCAACGAAATCCATTAAAAAGATCTGTATTTATGCTGCGAGAAACGAATAACCGTAATTGGTGTTAGCACAACAACAACTATGCTGAGTAACCTAGAAATTTCGGGAAACCCCGCATTTTCTTGAATCTCAAACTTCCCACAACAAACCTCTCAGGAAACTCTGTCCAATCCACAATTACCCGACTCCGTCTGTATTTCCCACCCGATTAAATAGGTGAAGCCTTTGAGCCTTCGGGACAAGACGGAACCTGTGTACAGAGGATGTGTTTGGAGCACTGGTAAAAGAAACGCAAACGGACAAGTTACAATCTTCCTAGCATTTTTCAGGTGTAGTTGTGCTACTATAACCGTGTTGTAGACAGATATGTTACAGTCCATACTTTCCTATCACTTTTGGAATTTTGTGGAACGTTTCAAAATTGTAAGAGCCATGACGATTACATCGTAGCTTCATTGCTTCTCAACCACACAATCCTCGAAGTAGAACGTACGAAAACTGATAAGATTTACCTTCAACATTTAACATTTGGTCAGAAAGGGTGGACGCGGGAACACTTCATCGGTATGGCTAGATCGGCCCTGATGGCATGGTCACTCTACATAAGATCTTGCCTTTCATATAAGATATGGTATTTTTTCCCAGCTCAAGTGCATTCTTCGGAAGTCCTAGCAGTAACCACTGACTGTCATGACAGAACGAGTCAATATAGATCATGTGTTATTTCCACATGAGGCTGATGGTTTAGATAGTCATATCATGTCAAATCCACAATTCTGGGATAGGTTTATCGTTCTAGCAGCATAAACTAAGACCATGATTTTAAAACAACGCTTTGTAGCGTGGGACTGCTGCAAGTAGCGGTTACACATGTATACAGGATACATCCCACAGTACAAACACAGCATAGTTATGAGTGGTTACAAGAATGCGTTACATGTGTATATTTAGTACACAAAATGAAGTATATAGACTCCACAGTACATACATGTGCATAGGTGCTCCCGCTTCAAAAATATTTTGCGCTGATAGTCACTCCTTTTTTACACACTGGGAAAGCCTTATTAGTGGTTATGCTTGGTCTTTATTTAGATCGTTAAGCAGAAACAATTGGGGATAAAGGTTCTAATTTCTAACAAACAGAACTTTCAAAAGTCAGTATGGGATAGTAATAAGTATAATGCCTGCGCAAATTGTAGGAATAAATAAGTACTTGGACTGTAATGTTTTGATACTACCAAGAAGTTGTCTGTCATTCTTCTTGAATCGACTTTCATGAGAACGTTGGCTAAACCAACTTATTGACCAAATGGGTCAATTTGGTTCCCTTGTAACAGCTTAGGTTGGTTGGTTAAGAGTTGACCCCAAACAACCAAGCATATGTCAAAACAGTATTGTTCAAGTATTCATTCACTTCCTTATTTTGTATAAGCGTTATATTCCCTATTATCTTATATTGAATGTTGAGAGCCTTTGTTTGTCTGAACAGATAATCCCATGCTCCACTGTCACCGCGCTAAGATCGAAATAAAGACCTATTCACTACTTGTCTGGTTTCTTCTATCAATAGCACGAGGGTTACTTTAAGGCACGAAACCCTCTGCCCAATAAAAAACTACTAACTCCTTCACTGTCTGGCTATTTTTACATTAAGGGGCATTTTAGATTACTTTCAGTCACTAAAAACTGCAACCAGTGAATATGGCTGCCCGTCATATATCACTGAAGTGATGATGAAAGTAAGCTATGTCTCCCACAACTGCACAGAAAGTTGGCATTCTTCATGTCAATGTTGACCGTCATCTACAAAACCCGATCTTCGGTCTGCAGGAGGCAACTGAGAAATCACTTGCAATAAAACGTACTGTTACCTAACGTGAGATATCGCAATCCATCCACTATTTATTTGTTTATGCGTACGTATCAATGCCAATCATTGGCAAAGACGTGCTACGTAAATATAACCCACTTGTCGATAGAAGAAGACTGAGTTTAGTGGACGGAGTTATTAAGTTATCTATTTCTGGAGTTTCGTTTGCTGACTACAGGTTATGTTCGTCGGAATTAGACATATAGATAAGTACTTCCAATAAATACTCAATTAGCTACCAGAACTACGCGATCTCCCAATCATCACTCGTTGCCGCACAACCGCGACTTAACAGCCACCTTTTTAAGTACCACCATCTCCAAACTCGATTCGTTTTAATAGTTTAACCAAATTTCTATGAATACAGACGATATTCCAGAGATGATCAAGAAGTTATAATGCTTTTCAGAGGTTTACTGATAGTGTACTCAGGTTGCAATAACGTATATCCGTACTCTAATTGTCTCTCAATCACTAGTCAGGACCAAGAATCCAACCATCAATATGTGGACCGTAATTTAAAACTTCTGTAAAAACATAGCATCTCTGTAAACAATTAGAAATCACACAGCTTCAAAAAGAATGCACTGTTTTTCACCAGTAGTTATCTTTGACGATTTTAAAGCTAGTAATCAAAGGAATTGTAACTATGTCATACATTTACAGATGAGGATCGTGCCACAGCATCTTTAATACCTTACATTAACTTTCTCATCCAGGTTTTCAATCAAGTTCATGGCAGAACGATTTTGTTGGTCTGATATGAATAAAGACTTGAGGAAGTGAGTAGGCTGCCGTGTAAGTTGCCAAACTCTAAGTTGATTAGATACAACAAATTATTCCTAGACTCTTCTGCAACTCTCAACGCTCGTTTCGACTACTTTCATCATGATTTGGTAGAACCTTTACTAGATAGAATAATAAGCCCATATTTTCTCGCTGAACAAGCTAAGAATATTGAAAATGTGTTGATGACGTTTTCACGCAATATTGTGAAACATATCAGTATTCATTAAATAACACGGGCTTTTGACTAACCATAAAACTGTATTACTAATATTTGAGCTGTAACCACATAATGATGATTATTCTCAAATTATAATGTATTACACTCCATAGTGCTTGATGAGAATTTATCAGCGCTAATTCATTTGACTTTACGCATAGAAGTACTTTTGCTTTAACAGTGAACTGATCTCAGTATTTAAGTTTTAATGTATAGTAAACGTATACAACATCACTGATCACTAAAACTTAATCGTATTAACTTTTGGTTGATATTTTAAAGTCGAACAACATTTTTATCAGTATTGATTGAATAGTACTACATAGAAAAGGGGTTCATAAACATTGACAAAACGTATGACGATTATTCCATTTAATTCATAGTTAACATAAGGCATATACACTTGACCATAATCAACTGATCTTTCCATATAACCCGCCATACAATACAGTACACATGTTTTTGTACGTCGCGATTCAATACGCCGACCCTTAGAAGCTGCATACAAAGAACCCTT